TTTCCCGTACAGTACATTTCACCCAAAGAAAGTACACACAGTTCACACCGTCTTTCTAGCGTAAATAACGCAATCGGTGGACAAACCTTTCTCCAAACCGTCGCTAGATCGACCCTAAATTCCCACAGCAACCGCTTAACAGGCAAACAAACAATCTAAAAGACTGTCTATACCAGAAAAAATGGCGGCCGTGTGTCGGAAGAGATAGCTAGAGAGTGTTCCCGCCCACTGGTGACCATGGCCGAAGGAGTGACCACTACTCAGGCCGGTTTGGGGGAAGATCTGACCGCAAACGACTCCAGCAGCGAGGAAGAACAGGACTGTGAGGTAAGGTGTCGTCTGCGGTCGCCTAGCAACGAGCATAGTGTCGCCTAGCGACGGAGAAACTACTAGACTTTCTACCTGGATGTAAACTAGTACTCACCTGTAATCTCCAAGCAGATCTTTGGTGGCAAAATTGGATAATGTCTTGAACATGGAAGATCTGCTTAGAGCCATGGAGATCAATTGAACTAAATGGGCATCATAGATTATTGATAAGTAATGATCAGTAATATAAGTTAACAAGCCAATGATTAGGATATCAGATGTTATACTAGTCTTGCATCATCTTAATTATGTCTTCTTTTTTGTCTTGCCTCTCAGTTTGAAGATGCAGTGGACAGAGTCAATAAGTAAGTACATGATTCAGTGCCTCAAACACTTATAAATAAATATTAGAGAGATTACTGTTTTTGGTAATATAAAACACATGAAAATTATTCGAAGACATATGCAAAGTATTGGCAGGCAAACCAGCCAATCATAACCCATTTCTTTGCCTTAACCACTTGTCATGGCAATCGCTCGCATGGGAAGTATGATCAAATAACAAAATCTATAACTGAATGACATTAATTTATGCATTGTAATTTCTCTCCTTCCTTCCTTGATGTGTTCATTCGTTCTGTTGTTCCCAGTCTGACAGAGATGGACCTGCCGACAGCCATAGCCGAGGCTATAGAAGGACTGGACCTGTTCCTCAACTGTCGATTTGCTCAGGCCAAATCCCTCATGCAGCCCTGGTGAGTGTAATGATGAGTGGTACTAATACCCTGTAAAAATTATTTAGGAACAGGTTCCATGTACCAGAACATCTATGTACGGCACTACTACTAAGTATATCTGAATCTATTGATGGATCTATAAGTTATATGTAACTTTTAGTTTCTTATTTTGTTACTTGAAATGACGATGTTATTCCTCATATTATGATGACTATTTAGCCCTGGAAAAAAGAAGGAAACAAATTGTAACGCGCGATATATGCAGCATTAAAATCAGCACAGTTGATCACAGGTTAAAATGTCAACTTGTTCAGGTGCAGCTAGATCTTTTTACCAGTCCCTATATTCTGTTGTTGTATGTACATGTAATATGCAGTACTAACATACGTCAAGTAAGCCAACATAAACATGATTCATCTATCTCCAGGAAGGACCACAGTCCGTACCATGCCCTCGGTTACGGAACCATCCTCTTCATGCAGGCCATGATGACTTTTGAGAAGGTAAGGGTATATATATTATAAATAAATATAAACAACAGACTAGTATAGATACTTGTTCATCATAGATACAATGTACCTGCAGTCCCAAGATAGTTTCAGTCTTCTTGCCTTTTGTCTTATGTTTTTACACCTGAAGCAATTTGAGAGATGCTTCATCAGTTTGGCAAAAGAAAAAACTGTTGCTGCTAGTTTGAATATCTAATAGCATATGGGATACTAATAATGAATGTCATTCCTTTATTCCTTGTTGGGCTTAGACATCTGATCTTAACAGTGTTTATTTATTTCTATCCACAGGAGGACATCAAGCAGGCTGTTGTCAACCTGAAGAGTGCGTTATCTGTTTGTAACAGGTGAGAAACAACACTATCATATCATTTATTTGGCTGAAGATACAGCCAAGGCTTTCCAATATGCAACTGGCATGGGCCTAATATTAAGAGCAAACCTTGAGCTAACATGAGACGGGTTTAAAAACAACAGGCCAAAAACAAATGTATAGAGCTTCATTCAAATCAAAGTACAAAGTTAAATGCACATTGTGAACAGAATTGAAAATTGGACTTTTCTGACAAATGTACAGATATTGAGCCTGAGATATCATAGGAGAGAGATCTAGGTAATAGGTACATTTGTTTGATTGTTTGTTTGCTTGTTTGTTTGTTTGTACAGATACCGTAGGAGAGAGAGTTGGCTGGAGTCCCTATCCAGATCTCAGAGGAAAGCACAGGTCAACCAGCTGACAGAAGGTACATAATAAATCATATCCACAACTCTGCCTATCTAGTTCTATACCTGAATGGGTTAGGGTTTGGTTCAGGCATGGTTCTGGATAGTCCCCGCATATCCAAGAACATACATTTGCCCCAGGCATGGTTCTGGATACAATGTGGACTATCCAGAACCGTTACAGCATGGTTCTGGATACAACAGTACATGTAGCTGTGATAAAAATGCCTCTAACTAGCTGATCAGTGCTGCTCTATATCTAAAATAGCTTCTTGTTTCACTGAGTGTCTTTCTTATGAAGTATATAGTGTACAACATATACTCATCATATCACACTGTTGTATCTCGGTATAGTGTACAACATACATTCATCACATCACACTGTTGTACCTCAGTATATCGGGACAGTAATTAGTGAATTTGCTAGTGTGGCTATGTCATATACATCTGCAACGGTTACCTTTAATATTGTTAAAAATTCTATAAGTATAAGAAGCCAGTTATTGCTAGCTATATCAAGTATTCAGTTTTTTGAAGGAAATTTCTGATGTACAATATTGTGTATTTTCTTTAGAAAGGCCTTCCTTGGACCTTGTACTAAACTAATAAGCATTTGACAAGTACTTTCTTCCATGTTTCCTCTGACCAGTTGAGATCCACTCAGAGCTGTGTTATGCCGAGTGTCTCCTACAGAGAGCCTGTCTCACCTTTGTGGAGGTGAGCTGTGCACCTTACAACATCTTAGACAGCACAGAGACTTCACTTAACCTTCAGGGGACCTTCAAAACTGTTCCATGTTTGTTGTTAAGTGTAACAGCAATGTATTTTGTTTTGCACTAGTCTTATAATTCACCATTTCATTTTCCATAATTTGCTGTAACTGTCTTATTTTCTGTTTTTGTATCTGTCTTGCTGTATCTCTGTAATGTGTAAGCCATTCCTAGGATTGATGTAACTACAACAGCCACCTAAATTTTCCATTACTAATAGATAAATAGATAGCAGTAGGTAAGATAATAAGAAAATAAACAAAGGTTGCAGATGCAGTTCTTTTATAGCAGCTTGATCCTTACGGTAGTGGCCCCTGTTCTGTTCCAAGCCTCCAATAAACATGTATATGAAGTTGGCACACTGGGTGAGTTTTCGTTATGTTCTTCCTTCTTCACAGGCACAAACTGTACTTTTGTTACAGCTGAATTATCCCTGAGTTTGCTTCTAGCAGCCTGGTGTATTTGTGGACCTGTGGTTTTTGTGTTCTACAATGTACTTTGATGTATAATTACTCACCAGAAATGTTTTGTTCTCTTGTCTTCCTCAGGATGAAAGTTTGATCAACTTCGTGAAGGGAGCGTTTAAGATCAAAAGCTGCCACAGCTGCTACAAGTAAGGAACAGAAAACTGTGGTACAAAATGCATCATATGAAGTACAAAGTATGGCGTCTACTACAATACAACAAACATACATTAATAAATAAACTGAGAGACTAATCTACATGTACCTTACCTTCACTTATATATGTAGTATGGGATGAAAATGTGCATTGGTTTGGAGTTTCTATAATATAGAGTGACATATTTTAAAATATTACACTATATGTAGGAATCAACATTTCTTGAATAGGAACCTTACCTCCTGACATCTTCCCTTGTCACAAGTACTATCCAATTTCCAATACAAAAATATTTCACAACAATTCTTAAATGTACTAGACTAAAAAGTAATAAACTTACCTCCCGCCATGTTCCCTTGTCCCCTCAGACAGTGCCTGTACATCCTGGAGAACCGGACCTGGGAGGACCCGACACTCAAGGTGCACTTTGAGAGTGGAGTCAGGCTGGGGGTCGGAGCCTTCAACGTGGTCAGTCACCCCTCAACTTTACCTGGAGTTAGAGATGACATATATGATTGTATACATTGTATCTTATGCACCAAGGTACCTTAACATGTACATACCTTTCTTTCTTTCTTTCTTCATTGGCAAAGACAACAGATCAGTACACACTCAGGTTATCAAGGCAGTGGTGACTGGTATTAGATAACCCACAAACGTGGAGACAAACATCAAATAAAGAAATCTACTATAAATACAAGACCTGAAATAAAGATAACAGACCGGATACCTTACTGTTGAGTATTCAAAAAGTAGTTTCTTCCTAGAATGTATGTATGTTTGTTTTTATCATTCTTTAATATAACTTTGATAAAATCAGCCTGTTTCTTCATATTAAAGGTTCAAACAAACAAATTTCATAATTAGACTTTAAACTGTTGATCCGTTTTGATTTTACTTCTTTTTTTTATGTTGCCTGTTTTACTTTGTCTGGAATAAATTCCTTTTTTCAAGACTTCTTAACAATCTGGCTTTCTTTATTCCCACAGATGATATCTCTGCTACCAGGCAAGATCTTAAAACTGCTGGAGTTTGTAGGATTCTCAGGGAATAAGGTAAGATTGTGTCTTCATGATGGCAGCTGATGCCCTCAAACTCACTGACTGACTGTGTCTTCATGAGAAGACTGCACTGTCAGATTCAAATATGGCATTAATTTCAGAAAACAACCACCAACATGCTAGTAGTACTGCAACACACAGAGACTCATTGTGTTCTTCCCTGTCAATTCTTATAATAAAAGAAGAATTTTATTGTGCAACAAATGTAATTGGTACAACCTATGGCAAAATACACATAGTATAATTTGTGATATTAAAGAACTAACAGGGCTGCATCTTGTAGCAAAAATGAGATACACACCTACAGGTACATGTACATGTACAGGTACAGGTAGAGAAGACTCATTATGCATGTATACTGTGTTACATCCCATTTGTTTATTATCCATCAATCTTGATAAAAAAAACACTGGATACAAACTCATGTTAAATGTTGATTAAAACTAACACCCTTATTACACCACTATAAGTAGTCTATTACAGCTACAGCTCAAAAAAGACATTTCAAACATTTAAGGTCTCAAATATTGAGATACATCGTACATTGTATTTCAATGCATCATATATATAGTATGAAATGACTTGCTACAGTGTATATCCTTCCTAACCAGTTTTATAGTCTATCATGATCACAGCTAGATTTGGGGAGTAGACTTTTAACGAATTTCAAATTTAGAGTGTCTTTAAAATGTTAAGATGACTTTTTCCAAACTTTCAACAGAATCTTATATGTTGATTAAAAGTTGTAATATTTTTTCACCCTTACACCCACCAATATGAAAGTTTGTCATCACAGCTATAGTGGAAGATAGAGTCTAAGACATTTCTACTGTCTTAAAGGTAAGATATACATGTATTCAGGCATCTGATAGTTTAAGATGACTTCTTCCAATCTTAACCCCCACCAGTTGTATGGGCTGTCCCAGCTCCAACTGGGAGCAGACCTGGACTCTCTCCGAGCCCCACTGTGTTCCCTGTACCTGATTGGCTACCACACCGTCGTGCTCTACATACTGGGTATGTACTGTTCAAGAGCACCCTTTCCCGTAATTACTCCAACAACGCTATTTTTTTAATTGTGCTGATCTCCAAACACCACATTATTCTGTAGTGTTGTTAATGACGTCGACAATATTGAATTTTGCATATACATGTACTATAATATATACTTTTTTATGGTTTTACTGAACTGATGATTGTCAACTATGGCGCAATTCAGCTATCGCTGCAAGGCCGATGTGTTCTTTATGTATCAATAAACCATTTATTCATCTTCATCTTCATCTTTGCCGGCCTCTAAGATGCTATATGAGCCCTGGCTACACGCCCATATAGCCCCTAATGGGCCCCTAAATTTACTACTACTTACTACTACTACTACTACTACTACTGCTTTTATGTTAACTGAAGGAAAACATATTGTTTTTGCTCTGTTTGCTCTTCTTCCATTCCAAACACAAAAGGTCAATGATCAGAACCAGACGTCTGTCACCATCATGATGGTAATCAGTGTTTTGTTACATTATGTTGCAATATTATAGCAGGAGGGATTTAGACTCCTGTCTGACCATGTATGTATGGATGTGTTAGAAGTAAGAATATTATTAACAGAGCAGACCATATGCAAAGGTAAACATTATGCAGTTTATGGTTAACATTAAACGGTTGCTTTGGAAATGTTACATGCACCTTAAAATGGCCAAGGTAATGATGATGATGATTCATAAATGCTTTGGAATATTGTGACTGTGTGGTGACTACAGTCTGTCACTACCAGCTGGCCCTGTGTTGTCATAGCAACAGCCTGGGGCCCCTCCATGTCTGTAGTGATGTGTTTGAGGAATTTTCCTGTCTTGTCAAACATCTCCACACGTTTGTTTCCACTGTCTGCCATGATGATGTTCCCTGCCCTGTCTGTACAGATGCCATAGGGATTGTTCAGCTGACTTTCACCTCTTCCCTTGCCTTCAAACTGGAACAGAAAGTGTCCTTCCTCGTTGTACACAAAGACAGAGTGATTGCACAAGTCTGACACAAGAATGTTCCCTTTCCAATCCACAGTGATGTACTGTGGGTAATTCTTACCCTGCTGCTGACCAACAGTTCTCACAAGTGTTCCATCTGGCCTGAACACCTGTATTGTACCATGTAGGTTTAGCCAGTCTCCTGTGGTTTGTGTAATGAGGATGTGGTTCCTCCTGGTGTCCATGGCAATTCCTCTGTCCCACCCTGTCTTTTGTAGGTCAAACTTCCTCAGCACCCTGCCCTGTTTGTCGTATTGCACAGCAAAGTCAGCAGAGTTTGTACTCCCCACCACCCACAGGTTCCCCTCCCCTTCCAGGGCCACATCATGTGGTTTCATCTTCTGTTCACCTGACACATCTGTTGGGAACAGTCTCACAAACGTTCCCTGCAAGGTGAAGACTTGGATTCTCTTGTTCTGCCTGTCTGCCACAAAGATCTCCCCTTCCTCTGACACTGCAACACCCCATGGATTATTGAACTTTCCTGTTCCTGATCCCTCTCCACCAAATGTCACCCTCTGTGGCTGATTGGTTATTGGGTTACTACTAGTATAGAGATGTCTCGGTGCAATTACATCAAAAACATCAAAAGACCTGGTGTTTAGATCTGTGGGTGGGAAGACAGTAGGCTGGGTTTGTACAGGAGTTGGTGCTGCTTTTCCTTTGTAATTTCCTTTTGCTTTTGTTCTTTTTCTTGGTACTGGGATTAGTGGAGGTGGAAGAGACTGGACAGACTGCCTTTGATTATGACTGCTTCTTCCTGCTGCTCCGAATGGTGCAGATGAAACAGGTTCAGGGACCGTCACATGTCCCAGTATTGGCACAGGGGAGCATGTTGGCTGAAAGACAGCAGGCTGGGTTTGTACAGGAACTGGTGCTGCTTTTCCTCTGTACTTTCCTACCACCCCTGTCAAAGCAGGTTGCTGACTGAGAAACTCGACCCCTCCCTGCTGCAGTTCTTGTTCTGCTCGATCACAGGCAGCAGACAGTTCATTAACATCTGCCAACACTCGGTCCCTCTCAGTCTCTATTTTCTCCAAGTTTTCTCTGTGATTTTGTTCCACTTTTGCCAAGAGTTCCATGTAAGCCTGAGTGATAGCATTGTCTGTCTGCTGTTTCTGTTCATTCAGAGTTTTCTCTGTTTCTCTCAGACCTCTGATGAAGCCACAGTAACCTTCCAGAATGTTTCTCCCCTCATGGATCAAGGCCTGGGCTGTAGATCTGCTTTCCTGTGCAGCTTTTTTGATGGTTGTTGTGGCATGGCCATCATGAACCCCCTCTATGCACTCTTCACAAACTGGCATCTGACACTGTTTACAGTACATTCTGTACACCTCAGTAGGGTGAAAACTGCACCTGTTTCCAGACTGGGGTTGCTGCCTTGTTTCCCCTGACAGTGTAGCCTGGTTTTGCAGCCTCTCACACAAACTTGCGATCAGGTGGTTATCGGGCAAACCTGTGACCCCCTGGGGTGGCAGCCTGACCTGCCGACGACAGTTTGGGCACTGGAAGGTCCCTCCCCTCCCTGCATGGTCCTGTAGACAGTCCTGACAGAAGGTGTGCTGACAGGGCAGCACCTTGGGCCTGGTGAACAGCTCCAGGCAGATGCCGCAGGATAGTTCTTCTTGGAACTGTGTCCCCAAACTTGACGATGCGGCCGCCATTTTCTTTGCCAGTGAAATGCCAGATGTCTCAAGTTTCAGTTCTGCGTCTTGCCTCAATAGGAGTCTTTACTGGCGTCTTGTTTACACAGATCAGGTTTACAAGTCTATTCTTTCTGCCTGACTGCCAGTGAATGCAGGTGTACCTACCCCTACAGTGTAAACATATTGACACATTTCAGGCACACAACATGCTATGCCTTTACCATTTATCCACTTGTCTAGCTTACATACAAAATGTCTGCCAGTTTAAAAAATTTATCTAAAGAGGTCTCCAATATAATGCAACACCCCCAGTATGATGAACATATCCTGCAAATATAAATTGTGTCTGGGATGCTTCAATGTTTGTGGATGTTAATGGTGGGAATGTAACAATAGAAAACTGAAAAATATAAAAATACACATCTGTGTGCAAATATCCCCTTTTCTGTGCTGACAGCCTGCAAACTGTTAATTTTGTATTACTTCATTTTTCTGCAGTAAATTTTGTACATTCATTAATGAAAGAATGCATAATTTCTGTGTCTCTGTAGGCCTGGGAGATGGAGACTTGGAGCTGGCTGACAGAATACTGCAGCCCTGTCTCAGGAAATATCCTCAGGTATTTTTGTTTCTTGTGTTTTGATTATTGTGCCTGTGCCCCATGATTCAGTTTGAGCCTTGCAATACATTTTGTGCATAAAATCTGTCTGCACACTGAAATACAGCAGCGATTGTAAAGTTTGAAGAATCGATCGTTGCCCAGTCGGAGTGGCGAAAGTTCCTGTTTGTTGTTTCACAGTTTCTGCACTTCTGTTCCCAATCTCTAGGGGGCGCTGTTCCTGTTCTTTGCTGGGAGGATGGCGGAGGTTTGCGATTTTGAAATTTGAAGAGTCAATCGTTGCGCAGTCAGAGTGGAGACAGTTCCTGTTTGTTGTTTCACAGTTTCTGCAATTCTGTTCTGAATCTCTAGGGGGCGTTGTTCCTGTTCTTTGCTGGCAGGATGGCGGAAGTTCGCGGGGACGTCCCTGCGGCGATCATGAAGTTTGAAGAGTCAATCGTTGCCCAGTCGGAGTGGAGGCAGTTCCACCACCTGTGCTACTGGGAGCTGATGTGGTGCCACGCCTTCCTGGCAGACTGGCTCATGGCAGCCTCGTACGCAGAGAGGCTCTTTAACGACAGCAAGTGGTCAAAGGTCAGTCATGAGAGTTCACCTTTGAACTTTGACCCCTCTTTGAATGATAGAGGTCAAAGGTCAGTCACAAGATTTGAACTTTAAACTTTGGTCCTCCCACAAATGAGAGCAAGTGCATGGTCAAAAGTCATTAAGAAGCTTTAAACTTTGTTCCTTCTTTGAATGAGAGCAGATGGCCCAAGGTCAGTCACGAGATTCAACCTTTGAACTTTTATCCGTCTTGAATGAGAACAAGCAGTCGAAGTCACAAGGTGCAAATGTTGAGGGAGGTTGGGAATGCCTGCAGTTCTTTGTAAACCCAAACTACATGAACATGTACCCTAAAAAATTCACTTGCATGCAGTTACTTATCTTTGAACTACAAGCCACATATCTGGTCCCTGCATGAATATTTCTGCAGGCATGAGTTAGAACTTGCGATGGCAACCTTCAGACCACAGCTGTCATGTTTTTCAGGCATGTTACATGTACCAGCGGGCAGCCTTCCTGGTGATGTGCGAGGACCAGACAGAAGACAGCAGGCAGAAACTTCTCACTCTCTTCAGGTGAGACAAACACACCTGAACTACCATATACACCTCTTATACACCTGATGTACTGGTACACCCAATGTACATGTACACCGGTTTTACACCTGTATGACACCTCATGATATTAACCTGTATGTAGAAGATATCATCAAATCAAACCCCTTGTGCAGAGCTATCATTTTTCATGAATCATGAATATTTAAGTGGTGAAATTATGACATCTAATCTTCTTGCCACCTTCCACACATACTGTAACAAGATGTAGTTCCATCATGCAACTTACGCAGTCAAACTTGGCCCAGCAACCACCTACATGTACAATTGTCTTTAATAACCTTTTTTTTTGTCAGTCCAGATTTTTTCCCCATAGACACAATGATTAACTTTTCCAGCCCTAACAGTTTTTTTTGTTTTATTATTATTAGACAGGTGCCAGTCCTAAAGCAGAGGATCGCCGGAAAGTCACTGCCGATCGAGAAGTTTGCAGTCGACAAGTCTGCGCGATATGAGGAACACAAATCTCTGGTCCTGCCAGGATACGTGAGTAATGAACTAAAACTTTCCATTCAACCCAAAAAATGGTGTTAACTCCAAAATTTGCAACCTCATTAACTATACAGTCTACTAATGCAATGCCCAATAGCTTGTTGGTAGGGTGTTTAGAGTGTTTGTTTGTGGGTGTTCACCTTGCATTAAGGAGGTGTCCAGACTATACCAAAAAACTTAAAAAGATGTTACAAACTGGTTTCTCTGCTTAGCACTCAGTATAAGAAAGATTATGGGAGTTAAACACTCACCACTCGCAGTGGAAGGTTGTAGCAAACCTCTATATTACATATGGAACTGTCCTTGTCCTTGGTGCTGAAAATAGGGTCCTTTACCATTAGGTCTCTGCTATCGATACTTCTCCCAATCAAACTGTACTACTGATCAGATCAGCTCCTTGCAATGAGCTGCAGTATGATAGTACTGAGTAAAGAGACTCTTTTTACACAGTCAACCAAGTCTTTTATTCAGCTGACGTTTCGGTGACCGTCTGTCACCTTCCTCAGGACAATTCTGACTGGTTCACATTGCATTGCAGCAAAGCACTTTCCCAAATGTATAATATTTACATGTCTATACATGTGTGATTACAGGGAAATGTATCTACAATGGGGCCCCAAAAGTACAGGATCTATATGCATCTATAGCAACAACACCTGTGCTGTAGTGCAATGTGAACCAGCTAAATAAAAGACTTGGTTGTGTAAAAAGAATCTCTTTACTCAGTGTCTTACCAACCTGATGAAACTATTCATGGAGTATTACGGTAGTACAGTTTTTATGTGTGAAATAAGTGTGAGAAGTACTTACTGGTGTACTGTTTTCCATAGGAGCTGATCTATGTGTGGAACGGTTTCACCATCCTTGGTCGGCGTAGGGAACTAGTGGAGCCTGTCCTCACACGGGTGGAGGCTACACTACAGCACCTGCACAGGGAGAAAGGTTTGTTACTGGTTACTCTTCAGAGTTGCTTTCCATGTGTCCCTTCACTTTTCTGAAGAAGTCTTGTTTACTTGCTTGCTTGTTTGTTTGTTTGTTTGTTTGAGCCTTTGTTTATTCATGAAATACTGGTCTGCCGGCCACTTTTCATAATCAAAGATATTATTAGGATTCAGAGGTAACAAGGCCAGGAAAAATACAAAAAAAAGGTAGTACAGGTTACATGATTTTAAGTCTGTAATCATATAGTCACTGTAAATCCATTGACATATATCTTTACACATACATCAACACATTTTAATTAACAGACATAGGAAGTCTTAGTAGGAACAGTACAAAAAGCAAAAGAGGTACAGAATGACCAGAGTCATTTACTTTTTCTACCCCACAGACTCCACCCCCCTGTACCACGATGGTTGGTGCCTGGCCACAGTACTGAAGGGGGTTTGTCTGAAGTATTTGGACCAGCCCACTGAAGCAGAGGGGTGTTTCCAGGAGGTTGTCAAATGGTAAGTAAGCCATTTCAGATTTGTTTTGGTATGGCGTTATTGATAACTACAAGCAGCCATTTACAGTTAAGACACTATATACCTATCATATCAGGATTTGAGACAGGAAGGCATGCATGAAGTAATGACTGCTGCATGGGGGAGACAAGTTTTAGGACAACAATCTGACTTCTGGATTTTCCTCATTGTCTACATACACTGCACTTAGCCCTCATGGCCATGAATGATGATTGTGCAAATAAACATCATTGTCATTTTCCTCTATCAAAACATGGTCAGTCAGTCTCCTCAAAGCTCTGTGAGACAGTGATTACCAGTGGTCTCCCCTCAAAGTTCTGACACAGTACCCCCCCCCCAACAGTTTTGAAACTTTGTAGCATTAGACTGTATTTTTTCTGGCTCCAGTGCCCCCCAGATCCAGAGTGACCAGTACCTCCCACACTACGCCTGTGCAGAGCTAGTTTTTTTTTTATTCCTGGGTCTCCCTTCACAGTTCTGTAACAGTGGTCCCCCCTCACAGTTTCTTTTCTGCCCTACCCAGTATTATAATACATGTAATAATAATACAAAAGATTCATGTAAGATTAGCGCTGACTGGTATTTAAAGAGCAAACAGTTTTTAGATATGTAAAAGGTATGCAATTCCCCCTATGGCTTCATTCATTCATTCATTCATTCATTCATTTGTTCATTCATTTGTTCATTCATCCAGTGCCCCCCAGATCCAGAGCGACCAGTACCTCCCACCCTACGCCTGTGCAGAGCTGGGTTTCCTCTACCTGCAGCAGAGCAGACTTCAGGAGGCAAAACACCACCTGGAGAAAGTCCTGTAAGTAAGATTAACCTTCAGCACACTGACATGCCCATTTGGCTGCCATCTTCTTTCTTGGCTACAGGGTTAGGCAGCAGGGGAGAGGGTAAGTACTGTAATTCTGTGTTTGCTTTTCTCTGAAAGTCTCTATCTTATTTCCATAGTTCAAAAAACCTAGTTGGAAACACATTACAGGTTATACCAAGTATGAGAGAGTTACTCTTTTGAAATCTTCCATTTTGCTTTAAACATACCCAAGTGGCTACAACCTTCTAAAAATGTAACGAATATTGCAGAGTTGCATACTGAACTGTATAACTCACTCCTAAACAATGTACACCCTTGTGACTGGAGTCCTACTAACAGTTTAACCCTTGTGCTCCCAGGACCAAGTACCGAGGGTACCGTCTGGAGTCCTACAATGTATCTGTATCTGTATAGCCGGTATAACCGCCCTTCGGCGTAACACACCAGCTTTGCAGGCATGCGGCGCGGCGGCAGCTGGCTATATTACACCGATCGACTTGTTACACCTAACCCTTTAACTTCTAACTCTAGACATTGTTTAAAGCTATCTAATGACAATGCCCCTACTGTACTTTGTGACAGCGAGTTCCACTCTGCGATAGTTCTAGGAAAGAATGAATTCTTGAACACCTCAATCCTTGGTTGATAACTATGGTACTTGAAGGCATGGCTACATGTACTAACAGTTTAACCCTTGTCCCACTAGGACCCAGTACCGAGGGTACCGTCTGGAGTCGCGGCTGCACTTCCGTGTGCAAGCCGCCCTGTCAGCTGTTACTGTTGCCATGGCGAGAGCGGACACGCCCGCCGCGGCTCCGAGGGAAGCAGATGTGCGGAGGACATGAGAACTTGACCTTCACTGTTTTTCAGTTGTGTCACTTGATTGTATAAATTACTATAATTTACTTTTATACACATTGTTTTATGTCTATGTGTCCCTGGGTCCTCCTGGAAACAATCTACCGTTGAAGAGGCCACCAAGGTGTTTAAGATGAAATAAATAAATAAACTGTGTGAACTTCTCAAGGTCATAGAGATTAAGCCAGTACCAAAAGTGGGCCTGCATGGGGGGGGGGGGAGTGATTACGAATTATGCAAGATTTTCACCGCCGTTTACGAATTACGTTAAATTCTCATACCTGATTATGAAAGAAATGTACTGATTACAAATTATAATGATTTTGGGAGGCTGCCTACGGATTACGAAGACTAAAAAGGCCTAAATTAACACCTTATGAAAAAGGGCATGCAGGCCCTCCCAAAAATGCAAAGTTGGTGCCAAACGGCAGCCTTAGCAGGCTAAAGGTTAAACAAACTTCTCAGAAATGCAAAAACAAGGAATAAAACTGACCTAGCAAATGTACAAATAGTTCACAGTATCAGTGAGGGTGGGTAAAAATGTAAGTTGTTAGGAACCTGCCAGCTTGCTGCAGTGACAACTAGGTTCACCAGGGGGCGCAAATGTACTGCAACTCTGAAACCCTTCTCAATAAATAGTATGACTGTAAAGGCATCATATACAGATGTTTAATGAAGTCCTACCCTACCTCATCTGGTGTTGTATAAAGTGTTACAAGCTAACTGAGCAAGACACAAGCTGGTAGACACTGGATTCTGTAGTCTTGAAGGAATCCAGTGCCTAAAGTTTTTAGGGCTTGGAAACCCGATTTTTCAAAGCCAATATACCAGTCACTTATCTACTTACTGAGTTGAAACCACACTATCCCAATGTGTATTGATGCATGCAAGAATTGCATTCCTCATGGAGCAAGAATTCCCAAAATTCTGACAGAAAATGCTTACTGGAAAGGCCATTGGCTGATTTTTAAGGTACCTCCCATAAAGGACTCATCTTGGGGCTTGTTTCTCCAGTTTTAAGTACCCAAAGTATGAAATAATGATTGAAATGTGCTAATGTGAAACACTATGTGTAAATATCATACGTTCTGCTGCTCTGAAATAGCATTGGATGCCTTTACTGCACTTACAAACATTAACAGGTCTGGTATTAATTGAGCTGCAAAAATGCTATTAAATGGGGGCCTGCATGGGGGGTCCCGACAATGCTCTACACTGAATTCGGAAACCTCTCGATTATGTAATACACTTTACGGTAAATTCCAAGTGGCTACAATGCATTAGATAGAATTAAAATGGCGAATACGCTCTACGCTTTATGTTGAATTAGAGCGGTCCGTCTACGCTCTACGTAGAATTAAAACAGCCGATTATGCTCTACGCAAAAGGGCATGCGGGCCCCCTCAAATGTTATAATTATGTCAGTGAAGGTTGGACATCCAGATGATAACTGTTACTCAAGCAAAACCATATCCAGTTGCTTGAGTAACTTTATTTTTTTAGCATAATGTTAGCTATTACATATTATAATAATAACCTTTATTGTACATTCATGCCCTATTGGGCTAAGTACAAGTGAACAGATGAAAAGGTAATATACATTTTCATCTCTAAAACTACTCAAATACAGAGGTTCGACTTCTTCCCATTTCTTTGTGATGTTAAAAATATAATTTGAAATGGGTTTGTAAAGTACAGAATGATCAAAGCTCATAAGAATTTTTCAATATTAGACAAGTATTGGAAGTATGGAAACGTACTTGTAATATATCTAAAAAGATTATTCATTTCTTTCATTGCTATATAAACTACAATCAATAACAAAGTGGACTTCATCTTCTACTTTGTTTGAGCTACAAAACCTTTGCAAATGTACAAAATGTATGTCAGGTCAAGGCAGAATCGCTGACAAGTGCAGTCTCTGTCAACAAACATCGCGACCAGGATGTTAGGAATGTGCTAACTGGGTTGTCTCCCATCTACAAATCCAAATTCAAGTCAATCCAAATATACACTGTATATATAGATATACGTATATAGAATAATATAGGACGAGGTCTTTTGCATTGGATGTGAATATTTTGTGTTTCTTAAAATTTATTTTGTAAGTTCGGAACTGTTGTCGTTGCCCTGTGTATGTTGGAGATTTTTGTATCGTAGTTACGATGTAATAAAAAGACTGATTTATGAGTGTGATTTACATCAACGTTTGCTTGTCATCTTTGTCTGGTTCAAGGCCCAGAATTTTGAGTATTTCACCAATGCTGAGGCAGGGCTTGAAATTCATTTTTGGCAAAAATAACAACCACCGTCGCCATGGCAATGTATGTTTTCATTGCCAGTCTTGTTGGGAATAGGTGCACTGGTGCACCCAACATAAAATATTAGGTGCACAAAAAAATTTGGGGGGTACACCATATGAAACAAAACCTAATTGCAGGTCTTACTGCTCCTCTTCTGAGCTTGAATCTAAAATGAGAGCAAACTTCACAATCTTAAACATTACTACAACAGAGATATTATTATTGTTCTGATACTTAGAGACCAAGAATATCTGGTCTACTATATAATAATACACTTCTAATGTTAAAAATTCCTACAAAAATAGTTGGGTGCATTGGTGCACCCACAGAAAAAAATTAGGTGCACAACTCCAATTTTGGTTACACTAAGGTGCACTTGCACCCAGTATTTCCAGCCCTGTGAGGCCGTGCCAATTTATAGTGACTGGCAGTCAAAAGGATTACTTCAGTGTACTATCAAAAATGTTAAACTTCTCACTGCTGCCTACCTCCTAATGATAGAGAATCAGTAGCCAAACGGCTACTATAATGTACTAAAGGTTTAGCCCGTAACCAATAGATAATATGAAGTCCAACATCTAGAGTTGAACATTTATGAAGGAGGGATTCCACAAATAAAGGTCAATGACCTGCCTTTCCATGACAGACAAATAACAGTGATCCCAGACATCACGGTCAATTGCCACATTATCCCTATAAATATAAAACCTAAATGCTGAACATCGTTGAAGAGATCCATTTGTCACCTATAGACTAGGCCACTCCGTGAACAAGATGGACTGATAGTCATCGAAACTTTGGAGGTCAGTACCCTTACCCTTCAACTTGTCACTGCTGAAAGAATCCTCTAGTAACTAAATGTTGGAAAAATGACTGAACACACCAAACATGGTACAACAAAAATGTGGCGTAGCGGTAGCATTTTCGGCCCAGGCCCAAGAGGTCCTAGGTTCGAATCCTTCCCGGTGTCACCGACCTTGGGAAGGCACTTTACATGACTTTCCTCAGTTCGCTCAGGTGAAAATGAGTACCTACCTTCGGTTAGGGACATCCCTCGAATAGGACGTTAAATGGAGGTCCCGTGTTTGGGGAGAGCCACACCCCACACATGTTAAAGAACCCACCACACTTATCGAAAAGAGTAGGGGACCTTCCCGGTGTGAGTGGTTCAAACCTTACAGTCTGATCTCAGGTTTGACATCTTTGAAGAGGTGATAGTCACCTGTTATGTCAACCCTTCCACAAATGTGGTAAATCGTCATGAAATAAAAATGAAAGAAAATAAAATAAAATAAAAAAACGATTAACGCTATAGATTCTCTTTTTTATCTTCGTCAACTTTGGAATACCTGGCGGTGCAAGTAACTGTCAATTTGAGCCTTGTCTCCCTTCTCTGCCATCTTATTTTTTGTCTGTCATCCTCCTAGTACCTAAAGAAATACTTTGTACTCGATTTACATTTTTTTCCATCCATATACCGTGATTATACAGACTCTTTATTGACACAACAAAAAAAAGCACAGGGACTTCTACAACTAAAAATCTAACAAAGCTAAATACATGTTTTGATGACGTACAGAATATATGTATGCGGTAACAATAAAGGTTAACTATTCTCTAACATGTGGTCTCTAAGATCGAAACATTCTTTAGTGTATTTTCCTATTTGAACACTGTATTGGTTATCTCCCCTGAGAATGTAGTTGAATTTATCTATAGCATCTAACGTATTGAAATCAGTTATAAATCCATGATTTAGTACTTGACATAATGAAAGCAAGCAAGTAAGCATGTCATGAAGACTTGATTTCATCGAAGACAATGTATGGCAAAAATTACCAGTATGTGATCCGCTTTTTATAAGCTAGTGCCCAGAGTTTCATAGATTAAACAAGAGTTTATGTTGGGTTGGGTGTGTACAAGGGTTAAATGACGAATAACATAGCTCACGTAATCTGGATCCATCAGAATAAGCATTTGATCTAGTCTTTGTTGGCCGCTTCGTGGTATATTCCGATGTTGTCAGTGAGGTAATATGGTCTAATATCCCTCTGTGTGTGTGTCTGCCAGCCTGCCTGAGGCCCAGATCAAGTTACAATAGGAACCCGCGGTTCTATATTTGCGCGGGAAGAGATCAGATTGAATATCCAGTGATTTAAAACCTGAGGCCATGGGGGCTGGTGACCTGGAGTAACCTCGAGGCTGTAGCCTCGCTTAGCAGGCTTTTCCGTGGGTATTTATAACGTTTGTTTGCCTGATTTATTCATTTATCTGATCATAAAACAGCTAGGTAGCGCATCCAGCTAGTAGAAGCTGCTTTCCAATAGAGCCCAGCATACATTTACACAGGACAAGACATGATTACATTTAGTCCACGTGAAGCAACAAAAGGTGGACAACAACATTCAAATAAAATCCGATGCGTCAAAACAAAAGCATGCCCATATTAACAACTGTTGCCGCGACTGCCATGTGAATATATATATATATATATATTTGTTGTGTCAATAAAGTTCTCATATATAAAGGCTAATTAGCCACACTAGACGCTGCACACAGCCACAACATTAACACCAGACTTAGAGTCCTACCATCATGATTGACGACATGGAAGAACGGCCTACTATTAAAATATTACAGATACCTACTACAGATACAGCATACAATACCTGTACTTAGTTTTA